TTGTAGTTCAATGTTTACTGGTAATGAAAACTTAGATTGTCAAGTTTGCTCTAACAACTAATCGAACCAAGATACATCTCACAATGATCTCTTTTCTCTCAATTATGTTCTTTACAATTCTCTTATTACTCAACTAATTAACTTTTTTTTTCTCTTTGTTTGTCTAATAGTTAAAATGGTTTTCTTTCTGTAAATTTATTTTGTTGTTTTAGAAAAATTAAGATCATCAATAACATACATACTTTGTTAACTTAAAAGCGCTTGAGAAAAACATAGAGATACTTGTGTCTCAAGGGCATAATTTTCTATTGACATATGATTGGCTATTTGGGTTTTTGGTGATGTAAACGGTAGTTTTCATTGTGCTTCTCTTTAATTGTTGCGCTTTTTGAGCTTTTTAGCGTTTTTAAGCGGATGTTGGCAAAGTTTTTGTCAACGTTTGTAGCAGTTGTGATGGTTTTATTGGCTAATTTTTTTTTCGAAAAAACTCTATCGTAATCTTTATTTCGTAATACTATGTTGCGATTCATGAGGCTTGGTTTTAGGTTTGTTAGTTATGCCCATTTTGGGAAAATAAATACATCATTTTTAATTAATTATCACGACTTTCATTATACCACACAGGTACAACTAGCACATGAACAGTAATCTGCTACAATAAGCAACTCATAGGCGACGGACTACCTAGGATAGATCAAAACAATCTTTACACCTTTGTTTCAGAGAGCTCGAAGTGGTTTTGCATATTTGCGGTCACCTCCCAAGGTCAATATGAAGTTGTGGGTTTAACCTTGAGACCGAAGCGTCATAACATTTTATGTTGTTAAAAAAAGCAAGTGGAAAACTCTTGTTCTTTATCTTCAATTAAAGTGAGAGAACGATACAGTTGTTAGAATCTTTGATCTATCGAACAAGACAAAAGGTAAATCGAAAGCAAGATCGATTCATGGAGTCAGGAAAAAGGTGAATCGAAAGCAAGATTGATGCATCTGAAAATTATGTAAGCCAAATCTTACATAAATCGATTCGATTGATGTGAAAATCTTAAAGATGAATAAAATTAGATTTTCTTAATTTCACTATTACGAAGATATTCATACGCAACAATGGTGAGGATATTGCCATCTCATTTAGTCATTACGTTAGTTAATAGGTTCCATTAATGAATGAATGCTAACACGAACCAAATAAACCAAAAACACATCACTGAAATGGTCTTCCTCCGCATTATTATAAGTTATATCCAATTCGGTTTACACGAACCAAATAAACCAAAACATACCAAAACGAATCACGATCATCCGGTTTAAATCAAAATCGAATTGTTGAAATTTGTTTGTTTTTAGGTTTCGGGGAGATTCGGTGTCGTATTTGTGGATTGTTGTGATTGTCGGAGAAGAGAAGAAATGGGGAAGCAGCCGGTGAAGTTGAAGGCGGTGGTTTACGCTCTTTCGCCGTTTCAGCAGAAAATAATGACCGGACTTTGGAAGGATCTACCGGAGAAGATTCACCACAAGGTGACGGAGAATTGGATCAGCACCACTGTCCTCGTCACTCCAGTCATCGGAACCTACTGGTA